ATAATAATAATAATTGAGGAAATATGCACATATAAACAAAAAAAAAAACAAAAACGATAATTAAAGAAATAAAGAAGAAAATAAAGAAAATAAGGAATTAAAGAGGCTAACAGAAGTCGCGCTGAAGCAAAAAGAAAAATTAATAGAGAAGAATTTTAAAAAAAGTAAGTTAGAAGATAGAGGAAGACATTTCATTAATCTTCATATCTATCAATATTATGGTTTCAATTACAATATAATTTCTACAACAATTTTAAAATCTAACAATAATAATTAATTATGTAAGCCAAAATTAAAATAAATCGATAAAAAAATATCTAATTCCTATTGTCGAGGTTAAATTTTAGATATTTATAAAAAAGATACTTATTTATCTGTACACTTCAATATTTGGGTAATTTACAATCTCTGGTCTTTTCATCTTCAGATTAATCACAATATATACACTGTGATTTAAAAATATGCTTATGATTTATAAGCTGTACTTATTAGCAGGTTCCAAGTATATTTGAACAAATTTTAAAAATTTAGGTATAATATATTTAAACAACTGGGGACGTTTCCAACAATATTCATTAATAAAAATGAAGGAAAAAGACAATAACTTAAATACCATATCTCAGAAAAGTCAAGCGACCATTTGCATCCCCAAAAAAATACTCCTTTAGCAAATACCGCAACAGGCATTGTATTTCATCAAAAGGAAAATAGCGGAGGTAATAAAAAAGGGTAATTTTTTAAGTTTAACACCCTGTATCTCAAAAACCAATAATAGAAAGAAGCTATAATTTTGGAAAATATCTTCTACAGAATTTTTTAAACGCCCGTGAACTTTTATAGGACTAATCAAAAAGTATATGGTGCTTAAAAATTGTTTTTTGACTTATTCGATAAATTAACTATAAATATATTTATCAAATCACCTTGTAGTCAATAAATTGGATAATTATACATATGGTAAATACACAAAAGTTCTGTAAAAATACTGTGTTTCACATAATTAAAAAAATATATTAGCTTATGTCGATATTTATAAACCACCCTTTATAAATGGCACCTAATTTTTTTGTATTATCATTATACATAATAATTTATTTTTTATTAAATATTTTTACCTTCTTGAACAATAAAAGTAATTATCAGAAACAGGTCCTTAATTATTTGTGGCTCAACCTTTAAAGGAAAATAATTTTTGATCCCTTTTTATATTTTTAGAATGCCAAAAGATGTTACAATAAGATTTGGCAGAAAACATTAAAATCGATTAGTTTTCTCCTGAAATTACCGTTATCAAATAAGTGGTATTTCTTAAGTTTAACATCCTGTATCTCAAAAACCAGTCATAAGATTTGAACGGTCCTATGGAAACTCCTGCTTAAGAGGCCGAGAATTGCAATATACGAGGACTGTCTTTTAAGTTTTGCATATAGACCTAGAATAAAACAGCAGACAGTATTTAAACATTTTATTGTGTTTCAAAGTATTCTCCACGAAAATTAATGCACTTTTGGATGCAACTCGAACCAGCTCTGAAAGCAGTTATTCCACTCCTGGGGCATCATAGCTGCATCTTCTGGTGACTGGTAACGCCCTCTAATGCAAAACTTAAAAGACAGCCCTCGTATTAAAAATTTATGATATTTAACGGGTCGCCACTTTTCTATATGCTGTGTGCGGGGTCTTTTCTCAATAGCTAAATGATCCCATAACTTTATTAAAGTGTCCATTCTCAAGCAGTGTAACCAAAATATTAGGGGTTTACAATGAAATAATTTAGATCGTAATACAGATTTAGGTAAAAAACTTTTGGTGTTTATAATATACCTTTCTCATTGTAAATGCCCAGTATTTTGGTGACGAGCCGCCACCGTTCTCAAGTCCAGTCAATGTTAATCAGGCCCATACATTTTAATAAATGTTATTTTCTATCTCTGCTATTTTTCTTCTGATGTAATACAATGCCTGTTGCGGTATTTGCTAAAGGAGTAATTTTTTTCAGGACGAAAATGGTCGCTCGACATTCCTGTGATATGGTCTTTGAGTTATTATATTTTTCCTTCATTTTTATTAATAGTCGAGGCAATTAAGTACTAAACAGGCCAAAAGTTTGGAATTTTTTAGACTAAGACGGATCGGAACGCGGTTTTTTACATTCGCTTCCAAAAATTTTTTGTAAAAAATGTCCCTATTATTAATCTTTTTCAAACCGGATATTAAATTGCTGCAGACAAAAATGCATTAAAGCTTTTGGAAGATTAAAGAACTTTGTAAATAAGAGTCAGAACTGGCCCAAATCGGGTTCCCTGTGGTTTTCGAGGTCGCTGATCACGATTATGATGTTCAAATTGACCCACAGCCGACCTGGAGTACAGGAACGCCGATGAACGTCATCTCCGTGGGACTCTCCCAAAATTCATACGGGGAAGAAGAGAAACTCGGCGCCTAGGGTTTTTTGGGTCGCTGAATTCAAATATGGCATCGCGAACACCCCCCGGATACCTGGTGTACCGGAACCTGGACGTGGACGTCATCCCCGATAATTTTCCTGACAAGATCGTCAAAATCACTTTATTATTTACTTTTAGAAACCAAATTTCAACATGTCTTCCAAAACTGTTGATATTTCTCCACACTTATTTGTTATTTTTTTACAGATTCTATCAAAATTCCATCTAGGACACATGGTTTTGTTTTACCAATGGATTTAAATTCATGTAGGAAGGTTAGTTTATTTTGTCCCAATTATGATAGGATATTATAAATATTAATCTTATTTTCCACAAATTTTTATTACAAGCTATAATGACATAAATTGTGTCATTTAATTAATAAAATTTACTTAATTTAGTTTTAATTCATCAGATATTATGGGACTTGGCAAAATACTTATATAGTAATTCATTTTTTTAGGTGAAACACAGTTCAAAATAGTAAGATTTTAAGTTCCTTATTTAAGTCTTCAAATTGATAATTTGATCAAAATTATTTCATGACAATATTTATTGAAAGGTAATAAATAATACGTGTTTAATTGGGATTTTATCAATAGTGATTTATAAAAAAAATATTATCCATGTCGTTTATTTAAAATTAATTTTAATTAGAAGCCGGAAGAATTTTTTTATCTAATTAAAATTTAAATTTCATGAAAAAGATGGTTATCATCGTGATTTCAGTAAATATTCCAGTCAATGATAAGTATGTAGTTGGGACACACAATTTGTGTGTCATATTTTGTTTTACCTACAATTTTTTAGGTAACCTACTGCAATTTTTTATATCCTGAATTATTCCAGACAGGAGACAAAATAGTCATTATTATACAAGTTTAGAAGCTAAATAAAAAAGTGACCAAATGAAATAGTCAATAGTGTTCCATGCCGTAGATGTTTTAAATAATTAGAGTTGATATGTTGATAGATTTAGCTGGAAGACGCTGATACAAAAACTATCCAATGGACAGAATCGTAATTAATTTTCACTCAGTCAAATTTTTCTGGGGTTACTTTTGGAGCAATTTTTAAGTTTCTTTTTTTTTTAATACTGTCAAAGAAAAAGTAAAACAAACGAACGTATAATATATTTTTAACTTGCTTCAAAATGCTTTCATTTGATATCACACGATGGCATCAAAAAATTTCTAACTTCCAATTGAAGTACATTCTAAGACAAAATATTTATATTTTTAGTTAACGCCTAAAATGAACCACTGTTTACTTCAAATTTCAATTGTTTATGTCAAATAGTCCTCAAGTAAAACGATTGTGATAGACGGACCGACAGAGAGACACCAAGGTAATTCCCTAGTGTTTCTTATTGCCAATTTCATACTGATGAAACAAATTACTTGAAAAAACATTTGTTATCGTCTTCAAAATTTCACAGTTTTTTCATATTTCTTTAAATTCAAGTTTGATATGTTTTTATCGCAAGAGAAACGAGACGAGACGAGAAAACGGCTCTCTCGAGCAAGAAAAACGCCTTTTCATCTGGATTAGGGAACAATTTTCTCTCTCCCTACGAGACGAGACGAGAGACGCCTCTCTGTCTCCTCTCGTCTCGCGGCATCACTAATCTAGAGTGTTATTATAGATATTAAGAAATTATTTATTTTAAAAACTTTACCACCCGCTATCTCAAAAGTTTAAATGTTTTCGACTTTCTTTATATAATATTATTTTATTCTTAAGAAAGGCTCAAAAATCACCCTTCTACATATTGACATTTAATTAGATAACACTTTGTATCATGTCATGTCATGTTGAAGGAGATAATTCCTTGGGCTATTTTAAAATTTCGTATAAATGTGTACTCCAAATTCCTTTATTTTTAGGATACTTAAAAGACTTTTTCAATAATCAAATTTGGAAGTAACAAAAAAATAATTTAAACCTATTTGGATAAAATTGTTAAGTGCAGTGGCATCCCGGAGGGAAACCCAATTGATATAAAAAAATACACGGAACTTTGTTTTTCATATTAATTTAAATAGTCTAAAGAGCGTAGTTTATATGAAATTTATGTCATAATATCGGCCAAAGCATCACCTCCCTCAATATTGACATTAAGGGGCCACCCTGTATATACATCGAATTTCTTAACTTTAAACATTTTGTACTTGTATATTTTTTAAATTTAATTTCAGATCATTTTCATGTCAAAGTATTTTGCGTAAATATTCAGATTTATATTTACTCAAAAATATCTGGTAAGCCACTGTATGGGAAGCAAAAACAACTGCAAATACAAAAAAAAACCTGGAACCTAGATTAGGCGAACTTAAAAAAATAATAGGAACAACTTAAAGGAGGATGAAGGAGCTAGCAAAAAATAGAAAGGGGTGACGTGTGATCTGGTAGCTGAGCTGGTTAACAACAACAGCAGCAGTAGCAACAACAATAGCAGTAGCAACAACAACAGCAGTATCAACAACAACAGCCACAACCACTATTTGTTAGTTTTTTCTAAAGAAAAGTGTATTACAAAAATTATTAACTTACCAGCAGATAAAGCATGAAAAACAAGTGATAGTAGGAGAACACCACAAAACAAATATTTGATGTATGACATGTTGGACCAAGTATGTTGATATGTATCTCGGTTGCTTTTATATAATTTATTATCTTTTAATCTATAATGACTACCTGACAGATCTATTGTGTATATAAATCTTAAGCCCAAATATACAAATACCAACAAACATTTTAAACTTGAATCTGCTCATTTAAATAAAAAAATTGTCAAGATCTTATATTAAAAACAGATCACAAGATTACTGTTATCATTTTATTTTGTTGTAATATTTATTGTTAAGTCGTTGAATATTTGGTTGAAAATAATAAAAAACTTTATTTAAATGAAATATATGGTAATACAGTCACCATGCCTCTTGCAAAAACCATGTATAACACCATCTGAAAAAGATTTTCTTGATTTAGATACAATGAAACGTATATTTTTTTATTTTTTCTGCTTTATGACTTTGATAGTATCTAACAATATTCTGCCTAATTAGCCAGTCTCAGTTTGAATTGATTTACTTTTTTAACCGACTTCAAAAAAGGAGGACGTTCTTAATTCGTCGGAATATTTTATTTATTAATGTGTGTTCTGTGAAGACTTTTTAACTGTTTCCCAGTGCCAGTTTAGTAACATCAGTGTTAATTAGAGCCCAATAGCTAATAGTCAAGTTGAGAATTCTATCTCTGCATCAGAAATAGATTTTAATTAATTAGAGAAATCATAGCTAAGGCTGGGATTCGAATCCCGGATCCTTGGATTCGCAAGTTCAAACTCCTAAACACCATGTCACCCACTTCCTGGAATATTATGTTAGGCAAAAAAAATGTATTGCAATGAAGCAAATTTTTTATTACTTTAAAACCTTGTTGAAAATTCTGTGGTTTTTCTAAAAATGCTTAAGTCATATTTTCGGTAATATAAGCTTTTGTCAGTACTCTATTCTAAACTCTTTGCTTTTTTGGTGCGTAAAGTCTCTTAAGTTGTTTGTTAACGATAATTATAAAATCTAAGTTGAAAAAACTGACTAAGTTAAATTTAGTTGAAGTAGAAAATCATAACAACACTTTGGATGATTCACAAGTAAATTGTCGCATTTTAAATTTCCTTAAGTATACTTAAGATATATTTACCTATTGTGACGAAAGTCTAATTTATTTAAAGTTTATTTATTTAAAAACACACTATTTACAATTTATTTCAGACGTACTATTTAATTTATATAATATTTAGACACTAACTAACAATTCTAATTTATTTCTTACACTTTAACTTTTTAATACAATGTTCTATATTAAACTAAACTCGGCGCTGATACGTCAGCTATTTATATTAGTATAACTCCGCTACTGGAAAATGCTAGAGACTCGCAAAGATTCTACCCCTATGACTAATCGGCACTTCTCCGCCATTCCAGTTGCTTCCAGTGCATCAGCGGCAGACATTTCGTCGTATTCTTGTACATTCAAGACGCGGGCCGGCTGTTCGAACGCGGGCCGGCTGTTAGAGCGCAAGCCGGCTGTTCGAGCGCGGGCCGGCTGTTTCGACACGTCAGCGTTGCTTCAATCACGAGTCAGTTACGTGCGTACACAGGGTAGGCTTTAAGAATTTTCATGGCATTGTCCCCTCCTTAAGAAATAGTTCCTCCTGGAACTAAAACTGAATGGTTGTATTTGCAACTGGATCCTCTTTTAAAATTTCCAGTTCCATGGAAGTAACAAGGGACAGTCTTCGTTATAACCTGAACGTTGGGAGAATGGCTGCAGACCAGTATTTCAACCTAGGTATCTTGAAAGATTACTTTCACCATGTTTCTAATGATCCTCCAATTCAGCTGGTGGCTCCCCATCTTTGGCATAGCTAGTTTCTGTATATTGGACTCCAGTACATGCTCCCTCAGACTCAGTAATGCTTCCCATACATCCTGATAGGTGGATCAATCTCGGAAGGTGTTCTTTATTACCAAATAGAAAAGATAACGCGATCCATCTAGAAGTTTTAATACTTTTCCAGGGGCTGGTAACTGATCTTGAAGTTCTGGCAATCGACCAAACTTCTTCCAGAATACAGATGCCAGACATCGAACGTCGTAGATGTTGGCGAAAGTGCTATGGACCAGCGAGTTTTCTTTTGGAACCATGAGCACGTCTTGTTGTTGCTCGGTTGTAACACCATGTCTTGCTTTTCCGGTTCCTCCATATGCACCCATAAATTCTTCAAAGACAAGGTCAGGTATTTCTTGGAGCTGGTTTACTTCTTCTTCCTCTTTATGGTCACCCTCAAATGGTGCCAGCCGGTTTTGGTGCACTACCCTTGGTTTACCATTCGGGATCTTACTTATACGGTAAATTACATCATTGGTTCTTTTCTTTATGAGATACGGACCTTTCCAAGACCTTTGAAGCTTCGGAGAATAACCCTTTTGTCTTTTTGGGTTATGGAGCCAGACTTTGTCGCCTTCCTTGAAACCTCCCTCCATGTCTTGGGTATCATATCGCTTCTTTATTCTGTCGCTGGCGATTTGAAGATGCGAGCGGATCAATTCATGCATATCGTTCATTCTTCTTCGTAAATGGATCACATAATCTTCACCAGCTACATCTTCTCCAGGTCGGAATTCAAACTCAAGGTCACACGGTAGTCTCATCTCACGCCCAAAAAGGTGTTTGGCCTGTTGATTCATTGACAGCGGATCTATAAGCCATTGCAAAGAGCGAAAGATACTGATCTCAATCTCGCTGATGGTTTGAAACCACTTTTGATAGATATTTTCCAATGGTCTTATTCATTCGTTCTACCATTCCATCAGATTGTGGGTGCAATGCTGTGGTTCGGATTTTTTTCATGCCTAGCCTGTCACAGATTCCACGTAAGAGTTGGCTTACAAAATTTCTGCCTTGGTCACAGTGGATCTCCAAGGGCACTCCAAATCGACAGATAAACTCTCTTATCAACAAATCTGCAACAGTTGCGGTCTCTTGATTTGGAATGGCGTAGACTTCCACCCACTTCGTGAAATAATCCATAACCACCACTATGTATTTATTACCATTATCGGTCATGAGGAATGGTCTAGCAATATCTAATGCGATCCTCTCAAATGGGCTACCAACGTTGTATTGCTTCATGGGAGCCTTGCTTTTTTGCTGAGGTTCATTACTCATAGCATAGCTGGTACATTTCTTACACCAGTCCTTAACATCATCAGAACTGTTCATCTAATAAAACCTTTCCCGAACTCTCTGAAGGGTTTTTCTAACACCGAAATGTCCTCCTGATGGACTGTCGTGTAACTGACGAAGTACTTCGGCTACTCTACTCCTTGGAACGACCAACTGTCTTCTGTTCTCGAAACCATCATCATTTTCAAGTACTCGCTTTAATAAGCCATCTTCCAAGATAAAGGAGTCCCACTGAGCCAAATACGACTTAAGTACTGGAGAGAGAGACTTCTTGCCAAGTAGGTTGACGATTTTTCTCTTTCCATTGTCGCATCTTCTTCAAAACGGTATCGTTTTCTTGTTCTTCCCTAATTTTAGCAGGGGCCCACTCATCGTTGACTACCGTTGTTCTTAGTAGTCCACTTTCTTTGGATTCCGCTATGTTGCAGTGGGAGCACTCTGCTGGACACGGTCTTCTAGAAAGAGAATCGGCATTTCTGTGGCTAATTCCCGCTCTATGTTCGATCTTAAAGTCGTACTCCTGAAGTCGCTCAATCCATCTGGCGATTTGACCCTCCGGATTTTTGAACTGCATCAACCACTTAAGAGCAGCATAATCGGTACGGATTAAGAATTTTCTTTTATATAGGTATTGGTAGAAGTATTCCACACATTTCACAACTGCCAGAAGCTCTCTTTTAGTGACGCAGTAATTTCGCTCAGGTTTCGAGAGCACTTTACTAAAATAACCCAGTACTCTTTCTTTTCTCCCTTGAATCTGTAAAAGCACTCCTCCAAATCCCACATTACTGGCATTAGTATCCAGGATAAATTCTCCCTCTGGTAGTTGGTGGCCTAATATTGGCGCTGTTGTTAAATGCTTCTTTAAAGTTTCGAAGGCAGTTCTCTTGCTTCTTCTGTGAGTCGCGTTAGTGGTTTAGCAATGTCTGCAAACTTCTTTATCAATCTTCGGTAGTACGTACACAGCCCAAGAAAACTTCTTATTTGGTGTTTATCCTTTGGTTGTGGCCACTCTTTGATAGAAGCGACTTTTTCCTTATCTAGAGCCACGCCATCCTTGCTGACTACATGACCCAGGTAATTAACTTTATTTTAAAATAGTTGGCACTTCTTGGGGTTTAGCATCAGTTGTGCAGCTTGAAGTCTTTTAAAAACATCTTCTAGTCCAATAATAATGAACACGCATAAATCGACAAATCAACCAAAATGATTTCGTTTGATCTCCAGCAAGTTCTAGCAACACCACATATTCAAACGAATGTTACATTTATAAACGTCAGTCATCTGTTTATAATTTGACGAGTTATGGTGGGACAGAAGAGATTACCAACAATCAACAACTTTCTATGTGATGAAACAAAAGCTGGGCTAGGTACAAATCAAATTGGATCTTGTTTGTTTAATAATTTTACAGGATTACCTACAGAACTAACTTAAGTGGTTATGTACCTGCACGGGCTAGAATTGAAACTCTAATATAGCCGATATGTGTTTTTCAGCTTTACAAAAGAATCCAAATTAAAATTAATTGACCACAAATTTATGGTAACTACTTATTCTCATATGTGATCGAGAAGAAAAAAAAAACGAACTGATATGAGGATTCATCATCCTTGGGACTGGGCTCAACTTGTTTGGACTGTTGAAAAAAAAAAAATGCAACAAGAACATGTTTTTGACTTCAAGTCATTCTATACCCAAAAACTGAAATTTAAAAATAAAAACTGCAAAAATGAAAAACTATTTTTGACTTTTTCCCTAATAAAACCACAAAATTAATCATTTATTTAAAATGACAAAATGACAGATTTTATACTGCATTGTTTTCCAATACTCATACCATTGATTTGAAGCAAAGACTTATTAAAAAAATAATATGGTGATGCTCAGGCACATTTCAACTAATAAAAGTGCATTTACACCCTTGTTTAAACATTTTTTGCACCCTTATTTAAACATTTTTTGCACCCTTATT